TATCATACGCTTTCTCTATGTCGAAAAAAATTGCTGCCAGGTGTTGTCGTAGCACGAAAGAAGTGGAGATCTGAGTGGCAAGGGTGACTAAGTGGCCCATGGCTGACCTGTGCTTCCTGAGACCATACTGAGGTGTAAATAGATTTATTTGCTCTAGGAGCCAGATCAGACGTTTGTTTAGTATTTGTTCTAAAATCTTGGATACACAGCTTGTGAGCGAGATTGGGCAGTAACTTGAAGGGATTCTGTCCTTCCCTTCTTTAGCTCTTGGAATAACAATGGCTTCATGCCAAATCCTTGGTAAGGAATGTTTATCCCAAATAAAGTTGAAAATGCGAAGGAGAAAAGAACGAGCATTTTCTGGTAGGTGTTTAAGCATTTGGTTATGTACCTGGTATGGTCCTGTCCTGGAGCAGAATATTTTGCACAAGCGAGGGCGCAGGAAAATTCATCTATGGAGAAAGGAGCATTGTAGTTTTCCTCCACGCGCCTCGAGAAATCTAGTCTGCAGTTCTCCATTCTTCTTATTGGTTTTCAGAACGCTAGGAGAGTAGTGTACGGAGCTGGAGATACGCTTGTAGTGAGAGGCTAATTCTTCAACTACATCTTCTGGTGAGGTGATAAGATTTGCATTTACCAGAAGCCCTGAGACAGACGACGGAGGAAGTCTTCCACCGATCTGTCGAACGTTTCGCTTCACTACTTTAGGGGGCGTACGGGAATGAGTAATGAAATGTTGGCTCTCCAGGATGCGGCCTTACTTTCCCGTAAGGTCAATCCACCTCTGGCTCGTGACATTTTATAACTGATCACATTATCTATTGTTGGGAACCTATTAAGCTTTGCCAAATCCCGTTTCCGATCCCGCACTGTGGCGACACATTCGGCAATCCATCATGGCACGAGAGGATGTCGTGGGCGATCCGATGACTTCGGAATGGCAATCGAGGCCGTATGAAGTACGGCATCAGTAAAATGAGCAACCATCGCATCAATATCGTTTGAGGACATTTCCTATATCCGTATTTCTTTCTCGAAAGCTTCCCACTCAGCTCGGTGGATTAGCCAGCGAAGGTGACGAGCAACGTTTGGGTCGGGAATATCGAAATTGACCAGAATGGGGAAGCGGTCACTGCCATGTAGGTCGCCAAGGACAGTCCACTCAATTATGTTTGTGCTTTCGCCAGTATTCATATGAATTAAGTTCTGGTTGTCAATAATATCATATATTGCCTCTCATACATTCAACAGTCGCTGTTCAGTCGTCGTGGTTGACGGTCGTGTTTTTCGTGGTGCTCCTGGGGCTTAGTTTTACAAGGAAATGGCGTGCGGTCTGGAGCAATACCG